TTTTTTTTTTTTTTTTTTTTTTCTTGGAAAGGGTTGATTTGGTAGATGGTTCCTGTACCGGATGGATCGTGGGTGGGGTTGGTTTGTTTAGTGTTTGCTTATGGTGGTTTTGTGAGGTGAGGGAGGGGCGAGGATGTGGAGGGGAGGGGAGGGAGAGGAGGAGTTGGGGGCTGAGCTAGATACCGTAGGCTAGGTAGGTTTACTTTGGATGGATGGATGGACAGTGGATTGCTTGGTGGGGTACGGGATGGAGCGATCCGGTGTCGGGCCTTTTGGGAGGAGGGGATGGCGGGGATTGTGTGGTCTGGATGGGTGGGTGGAAAGAGTGATGGGATGGGGGTTGAGGCGTGGAGGAGGCGAGAGGGCGAGGGGGTTGCCCGGTGTATATAGTCTGGTGGAGGACGGTGGGAAGAAGGTTTCTTGGTGGGTGTCTGATCGTCTGATGTTTTGGTTGTGGTTTGTAGTAGTGGTGGTGCTGGTGGTTATAAGGTTCGTTGGCTGCGTGCTCGGATGGGATCTGGTGTAATCGAGGATGGTGGTGTAGCTATGCAGGTTTGATGATCCGAGTACCGAGTATTTGTGTTTTGTGTGTAGGTACAGTAGCTGATTTGGAAGAGAAGAGGGGATTCGACTCCTTAGAAGGCAGCTGAACGAGGTCTGGGGGTTTTATTGGAGGTTGAGATATAAGTATTGATCCTGAGTCCGATATGTACGCCTCATTCTTAGTACTCTATTGAAATTCAACGTCGTCGCATTCTCGGGTTATTTGTCCGCTTATGGTAGTTGATTACTCCATCGTTCGTTCGTTCGTTCGTTCGCTAGTTAGGTCTCCCGATTTTAGCGAGCCCCTAATCTAATTCTTACCTCTTAACCTACCACACCATTCTACACTACTACACTACTACACCAGCAAGCCATTATAGCTAAAGCTGAAGCTGAAGCTACGACCATCACAACCAACACCACCACCAACAACAAAAATAACACCACCCAGAGCACCAAAAGGACTAAAACGACTAAAATCGCAGCCCAGAATCCAGAACGGGGAGTAAGAAACATCCGCGAGGTTCTAGACATGCAGGGACCCGGTGATCGGCTGCCGATGTGGGGGCTCCTCTTACGACCAAGAAGGGAGCTGAGCGAGCTGAGTGTGTTAGTTTGTTTTGGGTGGGCTTGGAGGGGGGATATATTATGCTTGGGGGATCTGGAGGTTTAGGGTTGGAATTCCGGGATTTTGGGATTTTGAAGTCTTGGATCTCTACTATATCTTTTTTTGAATTTTGGATAGGATAGATCGTTGTTTGATAGAGGGACTTGAAGGTGAGTGAGTCTTCGATGATGATTATGAGGGGTGAGAGAATGTGGGATGTTGACTAATTGTGGTAGATCTGAACTAAATCACATATCAATTACTCATTCTACACGCACCAAGGAAGACTGGGAAAACCACACAAACACACACACACACACACACACACATAAACTCACCAAAACTAAAACCGAAAAAATGCAGCTCATCAACCTCTTCAACCACAAATCCAAACCCCCCAAAAAGGCCAAAAAGTCCACCAACAACCCAAGAACAGATTACTTCGGCGACTGGGAGGCCCACGTAACACACCACCTCACGACCACGCATCCAAAACGGTATTCCAAGGTTACCATCCCGCCACCTCCGACACCTACGTTCGAGAGGAAGACGCATCGGACGAGTGTTTTGCCCGTTGAGATCGTTGAGGAGGACGAGGAAGACGAGGGGAAAGAGCAGGTTTGTTATTTCGAGACGAAGGAGAAAGTAGAGAAAAGGGATAGACTGGATAGGAGGGGACGAACAAGAACAAGCAGAGTCATGAACGAAAAACGGGATTTGTGTAAAGTCGAGACGGTCTGTTGTGATGGGGACATCACCCCCGGGTGCGGGTTACGACGTATGGAGACGGAGATTACGAGGGTTAATGGACGGCCGAAGTTACCTCGTGCGCAGCGGTATGTGGGTGCTTATGGACGCGCGGCGATGCAGTCACTGGAGAAGTTTGAGAATGAGAGGGGGGTGTTGAAATGGAATGGGAATGATAAGAGGTGGTCGATGAGAGCGGTCGACGAAGAAGATGGAATGAAAAGTTTTGAGTATAGAACACCGTACTCGAGATACTCCATGGTGGTCCCATCTGTTTCCCGATTGGCGGAGGATCCTTCACGACGATCTGCTCCGAATTCGCCTAGGAACTCGGTTCATGGGCTCTCGAGACGTCTGCATTCTCAGTCTCCGTCGAGACACTCGTTGAGGGATTTCTCGGGACGGTCGGTGCATTCGCAGAGTCCTAGGAATTCCTACCATTCTCCTTCCAGGAGTTCGCTTAGAAGTTCTTCGCGGCATTCCGTTCATAGTCCCTCGAGGTTACCTACGCAAGGTCTATCAAGAGGTTCTGTCCAACAGTCTTCTACCAGGCATTCCGTCCACGGTCCTTCAAAGATGTCCTCTCAGTATGTTCCTGGATATGCCATCCAGACTGCTTATAGGGATTCGATTCAGGTTCTCACGGAGCAGCAGTTGGCGGCTGCAAGATTGGCGACAGCAGGCATGTCGAATTCTACAAGGAGTAGTTTTGAGCTTCCGAGACGTGGGGAACATATTGAATATGTGAGTGCTTCCTAATCGATATTGGATTGTCAAATTCTTTTTTACTGAGAATAATGACTGACATTTATTTCTACAGGCATCCCAGTCCCCCTCGAAACCAAACGTCGAAATTCCAGGAGGAAATTCTTCACCAAAGACAGGGAAACCTTCTGCTCTCTCGGCAATTGCCTCCTCGGTCGGATCATTCTTCAAGCTGAAGAAACGCTCTTCATCCTAGAACACTGCACCGCCAATAATGAAAACCCTCTCCTCTTCTCGCTTCATCCATTTGATCACTTTGTCTGCCCCCTCAGTGAGAGCAGCTCGTGAGGCTTTGGGTCCAGCTACACAATAGAATTCGAAATCGGCTGTGATCCAAGCTAGAGCACTGCTGTCTCGACTGACGTTGTGTAGAACTTTGACGGGGGAGTATTTTACGTGCGTTGATGCATGGAGTTCATGGTATAAACTCATAAGTCTGTTGGAAAATGTGGTTAGTTTACTGTTCTTGCTTAGACACCAAAAGTTAGGAAAAAACGCATATTTCTCCTACCTTCTTCTCTTGATTGTACTAGTGAAATTTGGTGAGAATGATGGCATCGTGAATTGTACATTGGCACGTGATTTGTAAAGAAAATGTTTCAGAGGAGTACCTGGTACAATATCTGTTGTACTTGGGCGTCCTTGACTCACAGCAGTCTTGATGATTTCCATACTCCCATTTTTTCTCAATTGTTTGACGAGATCATCTCTCATATCCTTGAGTTCAAAGAAACTTTCCTTGTTTGTACTGATGAGAATCACGGCAATCTCGTCATCTCGGTCATCGTCATCGTTGGTTGTGGTAGACTGCTTATCAGAAGTCTCGTCGTCATGATTTGCATCAATGAAGCTTACATACATATAAAGGTAGCCTTTATTGTTGAAAGCTGGAAGACAAATTGGAATCCAATTTTCTCCACCTCCAGCTTTGATGCCTTCAGCCTCGAAGAGCATGTTGAAGATCAGCTGAAGGTCACTCGGATGCAACGAGTGCCGTTTTGGCCTAACAACACTGACAAGTCGCCCGCCAGCGACTATCAAGCCATAGAGTAGCGACTTGGTGCGTGTTTTCAGTAGCGTGTTATTGATTATGTATCTATGAGACTTTCGAACCTTCAAGCATTCTAAGGCAGAAAGTAACGCTGATGGAGACCCTTTGGTAAAGGTGTCCGCCAGAGATGACAAGAGAGTTTCTGTTCCATCCAAGGGCCTGCGGAGATCTGTATTTGGTCGATTGCTGAAAAGCTGGGTCAATGTCGGTAGGGTCAGGGTCGATAGGATTTGCTTGTACAAAGCATCCAGCTGAGCCCGTAGCTGAGAGTCACTCTCACCAAGTTTGCTGATGGCAACAAAATAGAGAGGCCCGTCAATTTTAATGGCAAATCGTGTCCCACCAGCGACGAAGCCCAACAAGTGATCATTTTCTTCTTCATAGAATGAAATGATGGTCTGTATCACGCCGATATATCCATTGATTAGGTTTTGGTCCCCGTGTCTGCTATATATGGGCTTTCCAGCTGAAGAAAGTATCATGTAATGCTTGAATTTTGCCTTGAATTGCACCAGGAGTTGCTCTGGTTGAGTTTTAGCTCATGAACCTTTATGCCCACCCTTGCTTACCTTCATTTTCTCCCTTGCTATCTACCGCATCGATTTCGTCAAATTCATGTTCAAAGTTGGCTAGGGAGGTATCGTCGTCGTCAATGCCCTCAAAAGGGTTACCACTTTCGGCTTGTGTACTGAGCAATTTCCAAGCTGGACTTTTCGCATTCATACCATCGGCCAAAAGACCCGCGAGATCACCATCCATATTTGAATGCGGCGCATGGCTCAACAAGCTAGAGGTATCATCGATCAGACTTTCACTAATACTCGCTTTCCTCACGGCAGGCGTGCTTTGCCCTGTAGACAGTCCTGTTATGGAAAGCGATTCAGAAATTGCCCGATAACCCGGGATAGAAAAGAATCCCCGTAAGCCGTCTGAAAAAGAGCGAGTATGTACTTCCACCGACGCAACTGCAGTTGTCGGCCTCGACTGTAGAGCAGGTCGGCTTGAAGGAGAAAAAGGGGTGAGGGAGCTCTCTCCACTTGTTCGTGGAGGTCTGGGAGGGAGCGGTGGCCTTTCCTCTTCCTCTTTGCCTTCCTCCTCTTCTACCACCGTTTGGCCTTCCCCAGGCTGGTTCTCATTCTCGGCCTCATTGTCATTCTCATTTTCCTGTACTTGCGCTTGCTTTCCTTCTGGTGTCTCGGTCGTGATAGTTATATTGGAACCATTGAGCTTCTTATCTTTCGATGTGGTCGTAGGGTCGTTCTCGCCGTCGGGGGTCATCGTTTCCTCTCCATGTTTCGCCGTTTCTTCTGGCGAGTATTGAGCTTGAGAATTGCTTGCCAGCACATGAGCATCGCTTGGGGGATTGCATCCGTCCAGAGGGTCTCCCATCAAAGTCCCAGCAGAAATGGGGGCGGTAGTGGTGTTTCTAAGTCGTCATTGAAGCTCCCAGTGCCCCTCCGCCTATCTAGGCCGGGGTTGGTGTACTTGACAGGGGTGGAGCTTGGGCTTGGCACTAGTGACAAGGTACGAGTAAGAAACAACAGCATAGGCATAGGCAGAGCATGGAAAGGCCACGCATCATAGGCAACCAGAATTAATTTTATATTGGCAACATCTTCTCTCTCTGAGTGCCGATATGCTCTGCAGCTCTTCTTCTGCGACGCTTTCCAAGAATCATGGGCCCTCTTGAGTCGAGCTCAGCACTTCAGTCTGCCTCTCCGACCAGTTCTGGCCGGGCCTCTCCCATTTCCCGGAAATGGACTGCCGGTATAGTTCCTTCTACAACTTCAACGTCTCGATAGAATTCAGCATTTTTGCTGATACAAATCCCAGATGATACCCCGAGTAAAGACAAAAACTACCGCAGATATGCCTCGGGCGTGGAACGAGCGCTCTCTCTCTTCGATACCAACTTGCAGGAATGGGCCGACTACATATCCTTTCTAGGAAGGCTGCTGAAAGTTGGTGAAATCCAAACTTCTCCTATAAGAAAGCCACTAATGTTGTCGCATAGTCACTGCAAGCACGGCCAACCTCGATCAGCGCTGTCCCGTCCAAGGCAATTATCGCAAAACGTCTGGCGCAATGCCTGAACCCCTCCCTCCCCTCCGGTGTACACCAGAAAGCAATAGAAGTCTACGCATATATATTTTCGATGATAGGTAAAGATGGGCTCTCAAGGGATCTTCCCCTCTACCTCCCGGGTCTAGCTTCGACGCTTTCATTCGCGTCCCTCTCGGTACGAACGCCTTTCCTTGACCTTCTGGAGAATTACCTTATAGACCTTGATGTGCAATCCTTGCGACCTGCCCTAAAAGCAATCATACTTTCAGTCTTACCTGGCCTTGAAGAGGAGACAAGCGAGGAATTTGAAAGGACATTGAAGTTATTGGATGGCTTTAAGCACTCCGTGAGATCAAAAGATGGTGATGATCTCGGAGGAAGCCATAATAGTGCCGACGAATATTTTTGGCAGTGTTTCTTCTTGGCCGCGATTACAAGCAATACTCGCCGTCTTGGGGCTCTGGCATATCTGATTCGAAATCTTCCAAAACTTGGACAACCTCTACCAACGGGGATCAACAATGGATCGTCAGAGGATATCTCGGCCACGACATCGGAAAAGTTGACAAACTTGGTCACCTCCCCCGAGCCTGGTCTTCTCTTGCGGTGCTTTGCTGCAGGACTAGCCGACGAACAGCTGCTAATTCAGCGTGGATTTCTTGATCTTCTCGTGACCCATCTGCCACTCCACTCTCGGGTCTTGCAAAAGCGAGTCAAAAGGGAAGATCTTGAACTCCTAGTTACAGCTGCCGCTGGTGTTGTTGCTCGAAGAGACATGAGTCTGAACAGACGTCTATGGACTTGGTTACTTGGTCCTGAACCTGTAAACGCGGATGGAGAAGTGGGACTCGAATCTCCTTCGTCCGTGGCTGCGGATCAACTAAGCACCCAGGCGTCCTCGAGGACCCAATACTTCGAGGAGTATGGCTTGCAGCCGCTTACTGAAGCATTGTTGAAATTGATAACTCGTGAAAGTACCAACCCTACAGAGAGAGCCAAACCGTTTCGAATATGTCTTTCCCTGATGGATAGGTGGGAAATCGGCGGTCTTGTTGTGCCAGATATATTTTTGCCTGTGGTTGATAGTGTTCGCAAATACAAGGATCAAGCTGGAAGCAAAGCCGACTTTTCTGAAGTCCTTCGCAGTGCCAGCGTATTCTTCGATGGTGTAGAGAGCGGTTTGATCTGGGCCGAGATGGTTGGTCTGATTGCAAAGGCAATTGGATCAGGGAAAGCAACTGCCGCTGAGAGAATTGACAAGCTCTCACTTGTCAATTTTATGATCGCCCACTTTAATGTACGAGAAGAAGAGATGGTGGTGATACACGCCCCTTTGACCATTCTTACTATTTTGACCATGATGAAGGATATCAAGGAAAGAACAGGAAAGAAACATACCATTCCAGAGGAGGTTTTCAAGCTAGCTTTAAGCACTGCGATGGAACTCGTGGAACTCATCCCTGACCGAGCTTTTCAGACTCGACCGTCAACTAGCCAATCGTCGGTTCCCACAAACACGGACGCTGGAATTTGTCACAAATCTGCTACGGAAATACTGGAAATTATGAAGACATTTTATGTTGAGGATCAAGGAAATCTCGATGCTGTCCCACCTCCGTTCTCTCCAAGTAGTATGAGCCAGCTCCTGATGAGAGAAGTGGGGGTTATTACAAGTCAAAGTCTTTCGGATCTAGTATCAAGTGCTGATGCTGGCACGAAGACCAAGCTGTTTGTGATGATGTTGAAGAAAATTCCCAAAACAGAAAGCCTAGATGTTGCGAATATACTCTCATCTATGCATAGTAGAATGGCAGACCCTACTCCAATCCCGTTTGTAACTTTCACGTCGATCGTGTCCCTTGCAACGAATCTTTTCTCATCCGCATACTTATCAGAACAAGAGCTATCTGATCTGATAGACCCGTTGGTGCGCTTGGCCTGGTCTTACCTCTCGGCAGCACAACCCAAGTATCATGTTGAGACGGTCCGCTGTCTCTGGCAGCTTCAAAAAAGCTTGTCGTTATCTAATCGAGAGGTGGAATCGACCATTTGCTCACTGATACTACAGCATGATATCAAAGGCACTTTTGCTATTCGGGATGCAGATCCTGGACGTAGCTTTAGTGTCCTCTGGACACACACACTTCAAGACAACGCAGGTCTCATGGAAAGAAGATCTTCCAAACTCACTGCCAATGAAACGCAAGGAGCGAATCGTGTGTCTGGTCCCGCACATTATCAGGTTATGCTTTCGCGGCCTCTTTTCTTATTCTTAGATGCGCTCTTGGACGAGCGTACACAATTATTCATGACAGTGAGAACGTGGCTACACAGTCTTGTTGGCATTAATAAGTTAGTATTAGGAGACTTCTTCCTTTGTGTGGGCTTCTCTAATGATTGCAGACTTTTCAATCTACTTGTGTCAAAATTTGCCGAATTCAAATTTCTGCAGGCTGCACCTGTGGGTAAGCCTAGTTCCGCAGAAGATAATTTGACACCGTACAGCCCGGAAGATGATCTGGATCAATGTTTATACTATCTCCAAACTCTCTCAAACGTTTTACGCTGGTCATCAGATGGCATGTGGGCTGCTCTCGCAGAGAATACCATTGCTCAAAATGAAAGCGACCATTTCCTTAGCAGAATAAGTACGTTCATAATTTGTATCCTACGGGCTTATACTAACGTCTTCAGCTGGTCATGATAATGAAGTCTCTCTTCTCGAATTTTTCTTGCACATTTGTTTAAGAGCTATTGCAGGAAGTCAGCACACCAAGAGAACCGAGTTGCAAGTTAGAATGAGCCAATTCCATAGGACTGCACTTACGACGCTGCATCAAATACTATTAAGCCCTTACTCCATACAATTTGCTGGTCTGAAACTGGAGGATCCTCTCATTGAACGTTTGAGCCTGTCGCTTGGTGGACCTGATCCCTTCATCCAGGTCTTGTTGCTAGATGTGGTGTATGATTCGCTTAGGATCCGCAATGCTGCAGCAGCCGCCATGGAACCAGAACCTTCCACGACAGAGCTCAAGCGTCCAAATACCCAGGAGAGTTCACAAATCGCGATGCCTTCCTCGGCAGTAGATCGCGTCGATTTAGGCCCATTCGTGAGACACCCTCCACCACCCGCAAAGCTGATGAAGTGCCTACAAGCAGGGTTTGCTTCGCCAAGCAGTAGACAAGTGCTCGATAGTTGGGTCAGCTTCCTCACAGAATGCCTTCCCTTCTATTCAGGGAATATTTTTCAGATTCTTATACCTCTTGTCGAAACACTATGTACCCAAATAGGAGGAACATTCAAAAGCTTGCAAGAAACTTTCAAGGACTCGGACCTTCATGCGGGAGGCGTGGCCCCCGAGTCCACTTTGATATCGTTGCTTAATGGACTCGAGCAAGTTCTTGCCAGAGGACATGACAAACTACTTCAAGACGAGTCGAAAACTCCAGTTGTCAACAGTACAGAACAAACTCAAGGCTTCTTTGGCAACATGGTTTCTAATGTCTTTACATCCGACGCTCCTCAGTCGAGAAGTGTCACTGCAAACAATCGTCTTACAGTTTTGTTATCCTTCCAGGATGCTGTAAGAATTTGTTTCCTCATATGGTCTTGGGGTGGAAAAGAAGCCACTGCCCAGGATCCTCAATCCGCTGCTTCATTCAATTATACATCCTTACGTATGAGGAATCGCGCTCGCAGACTTCTTGAACACCTGTTTGCAGCGGAAGCACTAGAGTGCTTAGAGACTGTTGTGGAGATATGGCAGAAGTCTCAACAAGAGAAAGCTGCGAAACCTACTATTGTCTTCAACCTGCTCCACGTACTGGACGGCTCGAGTCCGAAGCACACAATCCCGGCTATCTTCAATGCCATCTATAGTCGCACAAATCCTTCTGCACTAGACCCTTCACGGAAATCTACAATGACTTCGTCGCTCAATGACACAGACCTGGTAGTCTTCTTGGTTGAATATGCTCGTTCTTTGGAAGATGATACCATGGATGAGATCTGGACTGATTGCATGACCTTCTTGAAAGACTTGTTGACCAATCCCTTCCCTCATAGGCAGACTTTACCAAGCTTATTAGAGTTTGCCGCAATCTTGGGGGAGAAAGTTGACAATACTAATTTTGGGGAGCAGCGCAAGATGCGTAGAGAGCTGGGTGTAAGTTAGTAGTTACCGTATATGTTTCACATTTACTAACATGTGCAGGACATATTCCTTCGATTACTGACTGCTATATTCACAACGAGACCAATGGGATTTCTAGAAGTTACAACTGATACCGAAGAACGTTCTCTATCGAGTACCGTAACTGGATTATCAAGACCTGATGATGTCGTGGGGATTCTTGCGTCGATTGCTCCAAATCTACCCAAGATCCTCGTCGAATCCGACCGTGTTCTTTCTGCGTCAAACACAATCTCGAATAGTGTCATTGGGCCAACATTCAAATCTAAATCATTTCCAGACAACGTTTCCAAAAGAACTCTCGAGTTGCTCTATCAACTGAGTAGATTGGCTAATAACCAAAAGGCATGGAAAAAGGATCTCGGTGATGCTTTCAATGACCCAAGGTTCTTTTCAAGCCCTGTCGCACTTGTTGAAAGTGACTGGCTTCCGTTGTTGAAGCAATGGACCATGAGTGATAAAGAACGTATGCCAGAAATACTTTCTCGAATTGTTCCTCCGGCTACCGCTGGTATCGTCTTTGGTGTCGGCGCAACATCCGCTAGACTTGAAGCTGACCGAAAAACGCAACTAAATCTGCGCCGGGCCGCTACACTCATCCTCGCAGGACTAGATGATAGCTTTATTGGGGATCTGACACTGATGCAGGAGAAGATAGTTGAGCTGCTACCGGCAACTACGACTTCCTCGCCCTCTTCAACCACAAGGGCGGATATTTACCTTTTGCTTCGTGCGTTGGTTTTGAAGACCTCAACCATCCATCTTGCGCAACTTTGGCCGATCATCAACGCAGAGCTACACACAGCCATATCCTCCATCGTAGCACCCGATCACAGCGCCCTATCCGAAACATACACCAACACATCCATCCTCCAAGCTTGTAAACTTCTCGATACACTGATATGCGTCGCTCCCGACGATTTCCAACTCCACGAATGGCTTTTCATAACCGATACCATCGATGCCATCTACCGCAGCTCCACCTTCCCTCCTACCGCTCTCGCGGACGAGCTCTCGGAGGAATTGGGCTCCCATGCTGCGCCTATATCTGCGATGCAGGAAACTTCTACGATGCAGGCTAGTCAGAGTAAGATGAGGAAACAGCTTATTGGTCCGGGGGGCATTAGTGATGTGGGGAATTGGGAGAGGAAGGATGAGTTGGTGGCCAAGGTGCTTAGACCGTTCTTTGGACAGCTTAGTATATATGCTTTTGAGAGCACGTATGTGATGGGGGTGGCGGACTTGGAGGGGTGTAGGAAGAGTCTGTTGGGGGATCTTTTTGATGATGGGACGGTTGTTAAGGCGTTGTGAGTGGGGGCGGTTGAGGGGATGGAATACCTTTTTATGGGAATTGATAATGAGATTTTTTGTGCATCTGGTTTTAATTTCGTTTGGCTTCGAGGAGGTTCCATCTCGTGTTGTTGTTTCAAGAGTTTGAATGGAATACCTTGACTAGGTAAGAGCAGAACGGAAGTCATGTTCTTCCTTCGTGTTACTCGTTGCTGGAATTACAAAGCAATTGATGGCCCATTAGATCGTTCTATGCTGCTGGAGCAAGATGTATCTCTATTCAATCCCCATCACTGCTCACCGCTCAAGTAATCCAACGTCGTGCATGTATACGAAGCGATAAGTCTTCATCCCATGAATCGAAATCATCAAGACGATCTGGATTCATCGTGTACAGCGACAGAACCACTTCCTCCCCTCTGAAACCCTAGGTCAGCGCTCTTTGTTGAACATTAGGTCACGTGAGAGACTAATGTAGGTCGTACCAAACCTCTGTATATATAAGTAAGGAGTAATCCCCTCTAGATTACTCCTTAAGTTAATTAAATATATCGAACACTTATATTACCTTTTTAATAAGTTATAAGCCCGGAATTCCGCCTTAGCCTTACTAGTAACCGAAATTAAGATTAACTACTAAGTCTCTAAATCCTTAACCTAATATAAGCGTGTTCTACTAATAGATATATAAGTTACTTTAAAGTACTCTAGTTATATCTACTTATTATATTGAAATATTACTACCTACTTAGCGTAAATATAAGACTAAAATAAGAGTTATAGGTTATTAATTCTAATTTAGGTTAAAATCTTAGTATACTTCTACTTAACTTCTCTAAACCTTAGAAAACTCTAAGCGCTTAAAACTCTAACTTCTCGAATATTAACTCGAATATATAAAACTATTTTATAATGATAATTCTTTTTAAAATAAGTTTATCTCTAACTAATTTATAATCTTTAAATATAATAGAGTAAATATTTAGTATAAGTAAAAAGAAGCTAGGAACTATCTTAAAGAGATAGTTTCTTTTATATAAGATAATAAAGAAAAGTAGATAACGCTTACTTATACTGTTATTTAGACTAGATTTATTGCCTTATTATACTTAAAGCTTTGTTAATATAAATCCTAAATACTTCTATAAAGACTATAGATTTAATAATCCTAACTATATACTTTCTTTTCTAGAAATAGAAGATTCTAACTTAGATACTAATACTAATATCTCGAAAAACAAACTCTCTCTTTTAAGTTCTATAGATGTATTTAGACTTTATATTAAAGACTTCTTACCTAATATGCTTTTAAGCTCTTTATTTACTTCTTGTCACGGATGTGTCACGAATCACGTGTTCACGTGATACTTGTCATAATAAAAAGGCGCAACCCTCGACAGGCACATTCAGATTTCTTATAGCAAATGGGGATCGCTTAGGGTAGCTAGGCGATCCAAGGATTTCTTCCTTACAGAAGATCATGTGACTAGGGAGTATGAGGAAGTATAAGGGAGGCTTATACTACTCTATACTACCGGAGTATGAGGAAGTATAAGGGAGGCTTATACTACTCTATACTCGGACCATACGCGGGGTATGAAGGTTCTATATAAGAC